AGGGGCAACGCCCACGGTCCACCAAGCACACCCCCCAGCCGAAGAAGCGGCAGCCCCCGCCTCCACCTCCTCCTCCTTTCCCCCTCCCTCCCCCAGACTTGGAAAGAGAGCAGAGACGCGGCAGGCCGAGGGCGCGCGCAGGGAAGGCGCCTGCGAGCGCGCGAGCGGACGAGCTCGCGCATTGCGGGGCAGCCGAGGGGGAACGGTGCAACCTGTTGACTGAGAGCAGCAACTGCAACCCCCGACCGGGCCTCTTCGTTTTTTCTCCTCTCCGTAACGCGCCCCTTCCCGCTGCAGTTTCTTTTTTTTTCTTTTTTCTTCCCTACTTTCCTTTTTTATTTTCCTTTTCTTATCTTGCCCGCTGCAGCCTACGGGGTTTTTGTTTGTTTGTTTGTTTGTTTTATAAACAGCATGTTGATTTAGAAGTCAGGCCCGCTGCATTTAGAGGGTGACTGCGGTGGGTGACAGTCAGCCATCGCGTATTTCACTTGCGGGGAAATCCTAATCAACCTTGTGAACTAATTTTTTTAATCAGGTCTCGGCTGTTCAAAGGGGGGAAAAGAACAGACAAGGACGACACAAGCAGGCAGCAAACCTTCACTGAGGATTGAGGAGCCAGCCCTGGCGCGTCAAGCCAAAAATGATACGAAAAGATTTCCGTACCTCCTAGAAAATGTACTTTTGGGAATTGTATAGGAAAGGTGCCTCGTTATACATGCAGTATTAGAAAAAATATATATTTAAACAGGTGTGATTATTTGTGAGTGAATGTGCATAAATTGTGTGCTATAGACTATTGTTGGCTGTAAGGAGCAGGCCTCATAATTATGTCTCTCATTTTGAAACTTTTTCAGTTTTCAGCATTCATTGCAGGTCAGCAAAAAAAATAAACAATCCAGTTCTGCATTAGCTAATGGCTTATACAGCTCAGTTGTAGGAAATACGTGCCAATGGAAAAAAAAACTTGAGGAAGACTTACATGATGGCATATATTTATCAATTTGGTATCTACAGTATTCAGTGTTTTTTCATGTGTGTGCACACATTTTGTACACACACACGCACACACACACGAAAAGTATATGCAGGTTTGATTAAATTAAATTCTATTTAAATTAAATTGAAGTTACACAGCCCATCAGAGTTGAGCAAACATTTTGAGAGAACTATTTTGAACCCAGAATGGCTGCTTCAGGTGTCCCTTTGAAAAGAAAGGAGTGATCTGAGAGTTTAGTTTGAGTCAGCATTAAACAGTTTTGATCTGCATCTAAAGCAAAACGTGTCTGCATTGACTGAATGTTCCATGCTTAAATTTTATTTTTGTAGTTTGGGATTGGGTTTTTGATTGAAAAATCAGCCTAGTCAGTACAATAGCAGGAATTGGTCAATTCCCTGTTGTTTATAGCTTAAACTAGATGGGGTTAGGGGTGGGTGGGTGGGTGCTGTGTATGGAGTGCTGAGGCAAAGATGCAGTTTCTAAGCACATGGTGAAAGGACTGGAGAATCATTGTGAACTCTGCTGCTACTTTTGTGCAGTTCAAAGACTACTTGCAGTTGCCTGCTTTCCTGATTAATATGTTACTGCTATTTTTTATTTTTATTTTTATTTTTGGTTATAATGAAATTAGACTCTGTGGGTGGGTTATACTTCACGCTTTGTGTTATTTTATTTTATAGGCAGATAGCCTACAACTAAAAACAGGTAAACAAGAGTAAAACATAAGTATGCCTTTTAAACTAAAAATCTGCATGGCACTTCCCAAATGTTTGCTCATTGCTACCTCTTGAACCCTTTTAATCAGAATTCTCTAACCAATTTCCCAGGCATACTTAACAAATGAATCTCCTTGTAGTTTTTGCATTCCTTCTTGCTACCACTATAAGGAAACAATAATGACATTCATTCAGTCATGCTGGCCTCACACACATTAAGCAAGTCACTATTCTCTATCATTCCCTCTTCTCTAACTTTATATACATCTCCGAGGCTTCAAAAATTGAAGCCATGCACCTCGCCTGGAAGCCTTGCATCCAGACCTTTCATACATAGAGGGTTGGTAGTAAATGCCAAGGAAACTGTATGCCAAAGTCTCTATGGGGAGGAGAGGGGATGCAATGTCAAGCCAACTTGTTGACTGAAGACTTGTCATGCTGCTAAGTGTGGCAAGAAGAAACACTGGTGTTGAAATCTGCTCTAACTTGAGCCATGAAAAGTCATGGAGGAGGAAACGGGTTGTTTAAAATATTCCATAATGTCCAGCTGGCCAGCTATCCTGGCAGAGCAGCAAGACATCTTTCTTCAAGGAAGGAGGAAACCTTACCAATTGTTGTGATGTAGTTTTCCCAGTTCCCAAGGAAAGGGAGAGGGAGAAGATGGAAGAATTGTCTGAAGATCATCTAGCTGAGCACATATGGATCCTGTTCTTGCTGAGTACAGATTTGGTCAGGTAGGGATAGAGCCTTCCTTCCAGTCCCAAGAGCTTCATAAAGTGAACCAGATGCCAAGGAAGAGAGGGAAAAATTTTCCAGGTACAGAATGGAGATGAGATGAGTGTTGTAAAGTAGAAAATACTCTGGTTTATGTGATAAACCAACCACCAGCTTATTCTGCAAGCTAGGACTGTAAGAGATGAATGTTAAAATGAAAAAAAAATATGCCTACCTGAGCTGGCATTTGTGAATCTGTGAGAAGTCTGTTCCAAATTCTTGTGATCAGTTTGGATCACAAGGAGATGGCATCATTGCTGAAAGATTCATTTAATGGCCAAAAGCTCTTTATTAAAAGCATTGTAGTATCTTTAACCTGAAAATATTTGCCTGTAAAGGAAGTTCAGTGGCAGAGAGTGCCCTCAAACTTGGAGCAGACATAAAAGTACAGCTCTCAAGGGAAAATGGAAAGAGTCACCCTGATCTGGATGATAGAGGATAGGCTGAAAAATGAATTCCTGTTTGACTGGAAGAAAAGTCTGTTCGTGTGTTGAAATCTCAATCAAAAGGAACCCCTTTCTTGATAAGATGAGTCAGTGGGTATGGTTTGTGCAGCAAAATTAGGAACAAATTTATGATAAAAACTGGCAAGCTCCAGTAAAAAATGTATGTCCTTGATAGCCTGCAACTGAAAGGTAAACAAGGGTAAAATATAAGGACATTTTTAAAATCTGCATGGCATTTCTCATTGCCAAGTGTTGAATCATTGATGATTTTTGCTCATTGTCACCTCCTTCAAAGGAAGCTCTCAAAACAGTATATTGGGTCTTAGTTGTATCCGTTTGCATTTCGTTTGAGGAAATAACAGTAGCCCAAATAGTCCAATATGGATAAATCAAAAGTTCGTATCTCTAGCATTGAGCTGTAGTTACAGTGGTGTTGAAGAATTACCTGAACTTGTTCAGAATGGAGAGCAGGATCCTCAATGCAAATGAGCAAATTGTCCAAATACACTATTAAAAAAAGGTCCACAGTTTCAAGAAAAATATGTTTCAGAAAGCACATGAAAACTGAAAAGAGGTATGCTTCACTGCCACATATTCAAATTTCCCATAATGATAGTAAAGGCAATTAAATATTTGTGGTGGTGTTCCATGCAACTAAAATTATCAACTTCCTTTGATTAATTGGAGGAGCTATTCAGACACAAAATAGTCATGGGAATAAACAGATGACATATACACCTCCTGTATCCTTCAGTGGTTTCATTTGTAATAACTTTATAAGCCCAGACTGCCTGACAGGTCACACGTTCTGGCTTTGGCACCTGTTCAGATAGAGAAGGGCAGAAGTTTGAGGAGTAGGAGGAAGACACCTGAGTAATGAGAGAGTGACAGAGGCTGATGAGATATCGGAATGAGTGGAATTCCTGATGAAGAAGAAATAGTGAGTCATCAATTCACAGCGCTTCTGTTCTTCAATTGATTGGATCTCATTTAGAAGATACCTTTGCTGAAATACCATTCCAACATCTGCACTGCTTCTCCTGACAGGAACAAAATAGAGCTTAGTGTTATTACTATACTAGCTACCATCCAACCAGCCACAAAGTTGCTCAACAGCTTTATATAAATGTTCAACATTTATATAATAGAATTTGTACTCCTATGTGAGCCTTACTTTAGTGGCCGTTGGACTGAGCAGAAGTCCCCTAAAGCCACCTTAGAGCCAACTATAGAATACAAGCAGAATCAGTGATGAACAGTGCCAGATAGTTGACACTTAACAAGAGCTGCCCAGAGTTGTTGAGAGTCAGGTGGTATACAAGTTTAATAAATTATTGTTGTTTGTTTGTTTGTTTGTTTATTTATTTATTTATTT